AATGGATCGTCTATTCGTTCCAGACCGATATCGTTAGACTGGAAATGAATGCTGTGAAACGTGACTAGGCACTTTGAGGAATCGCCAAGCCCACTTCAGAAACGACACCATTCTCCTCAGCGTTCTTCTTTACAGCGCGAACTGTTGCGGCAAGCACCGTGCTCTGATCGTTCCATGTCGTTATGAGTTGATAAATAGCTTCACGAATATACATCAGAGCTTCGTTAGCCTGAAAACAATACAAAACCACGTTCAAAAATGCTCCTCACCGGGCATTTTCCCTACAGCGGGCACATCCTGCTGTAGGGAAAATTTTTCGCATCATATGACCCCTCTGTCCCCGCCGCCCTCAGGGTTTTCTCAGTCTGACCCCGGTTACCATTCCACCTACCATCTCGTCAAACTCTCCCAATTTCCTAGCCCCTTTTCCTGTTTTTCGTGAAATACCTCCCCCTCACTCCACCAAAAAAAAACACCTCTGTCGAGCTTTGAAAGGGGGGAGGGGGAGGAGGCACACAACGGGAAAGACAGAGAAAAGTCAACAACCAAAAAACTCTTAAAGCATATACGGCCCTCCTCCCCCTTCAGCGACCAAATACTACCTCCTTGCTGGATCTCCAGTATGTGCCTTTTCATGAGCACGTATTATTCAAGACGCTTCAGAGGCAGTTTGAAGACGACTAAGCAGAAAGCACCCCCTTTAGGTCCGAGATCACCCACACGCGCACTATATTCGCTATCAAAGAAGATAACATTAACCGAAAAGTCGCTCACCTTGACGGCGTATATGTCATTTGAATTGATGATAGCACGATCGACGTTGGCCAGCTCTCCTGCATATTTGCGTTTTTCTCTAAATCGATAAAAAAATCACGTCGATGAAGGTTATAAATAAAACAAGTCTTTTCGGAATGTGACACGCATTCTACTTCCATTAAGAATCGCAGCGCCTGACTGAATGCGATATTGCCAATGTGATGATTTGCGATGGCCAGCCGATGTACAGGTCAGCGTTTTTCTGCTCCCCAACGAATTTGGTCCTAGGAGGATATGAAGCAGGGTCGGCCTGAGTGGGAGCAGGTTCGGGATTTGAACCCCAAACAGCGTGCGCGGTAAGCGTACTACCTACCGCTACTCCACTTAGTTTTACACGGCGATAACAGAATGAAATATTATGAGAATATAGAAATATGATAAGTTTAGCATAGGGCTAGGCCATGGAAATCTGAAATGGATGTGGCATTTGAGCTAAGAGCTGAGAAAACGGAGGATGCGTAGTGACAAATGGAGCCGCTGCCAGGCGCATGGTTCGGAGATCAAGTGTCGGATGCACCTTCGCCCGGGCCGGTCAACCCACCCTATTCCACAAAAGCTTAGTTGTTTACCTTAACTGATAGCGGACTTGTCTGTGAGCAAAACAATGCTGAAACAGCTGCCCTAAAGGTCACTATGTAGACCACACTCTACCCAAACTGCATCACGGCTTTTAATCCGAGATGGAGGCGAAGAATGTCCCGAAAAGAGATTGATCGACGTCAAAACCTAATTTCTTTACGTGGCGAAATGCAAAAGTGTGTAAGTATACATAAACTAACCCTATCAAGGTGATAGTCCTGTCAACCACTTGACGAAGTACGGTATGGAAAGTACCAGCATACTGGCTATAGTGGTCGTGTTGCGTGAAAAGGCGCAGCCGATCTTCCGCTGTACGAACGATATCATCGGCTAATGAAGCCATTCTGGAAAAACACATTGGTTAACTATGACTCTCTAGGTACGAGGTTTAAAAGCCAATACCTAGTAACACCATCCATAAGAGCTTGTTTACTATACTGGTTCGGAACAACACGACATTGAACAGGAGAAAACTGGACATCGTAAGGGCGAACCTGCAGTAGATTTAAAATTTCTAGATAAGAAGGATGGACTTTTGGTAAGTAGATGGAATACTTACAGAAGAAACTTTGAAACTAGCAACATAATTCCCTTGTGAATAAAAATGGGTATGTTCGTGGAAGAAGCAATGCGAACAGTCTTGCCGTACGGGAGACGACACATCACCCTGAAGTTGGTTTATGACAAACGGAGACAAGACGTGCCAGAAGAAATAGTCGCAGTTCGGTCTGGTGGGGCACCGAATGGCACGCTACTAAGCCTGTGAAAACCTGCGAACTCCTGTGACCAATATGGCTCAATTGCACCATTTCGCAGCTTCTTAGAAATTTACAGTTCTCACCAAAATATACCCGTTGTTAATTTGAACTAGCAGAAGGAACTAGCGAAAGCGCAGAATGCCTCCTCCAAGCCAACAGCGCCAGGAAACAATACAGTCCAGGCACAAAGTGTGTGTGGGTAACAATACACTCTACGTGTAATGCTAATCCGAGCAAAAGTAAAAATTTCACGAGCCACCGGCTGAGGATGTCCATGCAACAGCGCAACTGAGTGGTATAGAACACAACTGAAGATATTATGAGAAAGAGACCCTGAACCCTCCCAGTGAGAGAAAAGATTGACAGAAGCCCTGTACCCCACCGCTGGGCTCAGCCTTATGAGGGCGCAGACAACCAGGACGCAAGGAGGGGACGCCGCGGCATCTCTTGTTCCTCCTCAACTACAGTGGCCTCGAATTATGGGAGCGAGTACAAGTCGGTAGGAAAAAAACAAAAGTCGTGAACTAATGTCAAACCTTCGAAAATCCTGTGTAAGCAATGTAATCGAGAAATTTTCCGAATGACAAATGCCAAACAGATGTATTCATTGGCACCACAGGAGATGAAAGTTTGCAACTGGAAGAGCAACAATTCATTTCTTCATGGAACAAATAGAAAAAGTAATTCGACCTGTCACAATAATTCCATGCAAAAATCTGTGAAGGGGATGCGTTGGCAATGGACGATTCCTCTGAACCACTGACAACAATCTGAGTGGTAACTTCAACGCAAACACGCCCGTAAACCTAAACAGAGGAGTGAAAGGGCAATAGCCAACATTACACAACTAGACTCACTAGCTTCCGAGAGTGATCCAGCATAGGAACCTCACAGTTTGATGACGGGCACTCGTATGATTTGTTGAAGCACGATCTAGGTGACTATTATTAGTTTCATGATCCCAAGAAATGTTGCACATAGGTCTTAAAAGACACATCCGCCAGAGCAGGTCATAATTAGTGGAGTCCAGACAACAACTCGAGCCTCTTATGACATATCGGTGGAGTAAGCAGCACAAGACACCGTCGAAAAAATGGGGCCATGTTGGTTTTCATCGTCGGAAGAGATGGCGTGAATAGAGACGCAGAGACGCTCAGCGACCAGACAAGTGCAGACTAGAGCCGCTTCTACGGAGGGGGATAATCTGTCACAACGTGATTCAGCACCACATATTCATAACAATCGAAATGAACGGAGTTTTGCAGCTCAGAAGGCTCGAAATGGGCAAAGTCTGCCATCGCAAACCTCTCACAGCTTTGCCACGCTCTCTCTAGTGACGAATGTGGCACTCCCTGAAAGGCTGCGAACGTGCGCTCCTTATTCGAAAGAGTCCTACCTCCCTCATGAACTCACAAAATGTGTTTCTAAGCTCATACCAAAGCAGGTGCAGCCGCTCTACTGACGAACTTGCGACTGTCGTTCAAAGAGCAATCGAAGAAATTAAGCGTTCTGACGCTAATCGGCTTCGGGGGAGGGAGACATTTTGCACTTTCGCTCCTTGCTATTTTCGCATCAATTTCCTTACAAAAGTTGACATTTTTTCTTTGCAAAACCTGACAAATAGTTTCTACAAATTTCGACCGGTGAGAATTCACGGCTTTACAATATTTCAAAATCTACAATTGAAGGCCTCTACACGACGGTGGACAGTGAAGCAAGTGCAAAATGAGTCTCCCCCTCTTTTCAAAACGGGCCAGCGCTTTACATTGCTGCGCACCAATATAGAAAACTAAGAACTAGTTTACCAACGTTGTGAGAAACTCTCCAAGAGTCATGTCGTGCGATCCGTAGAACTCCATATTGACCACCCAAGGACGAACACAGAAATACGGAGCGTTCGGCGATTTCGGAGAGAACGAACCAAAAAGAACAGCTACTCGTTGGTGAACATAAGGGTCGAGCATATCATGCCGTCGTGTTCGATGTCGTTCCTTCAAAAAAGTTTGGAGAAAAGCATAGAATTCTCGTAATATGAAACCTTTACTTTACTATCCCGCCGCGTGAACTCCTTTGCCTTTCGCAGTTGGAGGCGTTTCCTGAAGAAAACTCCACCGAAGGCGCGGAACGAGCTGAGATCATCGGCATTGTCGGCATGGCGAGCGCCACAAGTCGCGTAATGATGACGAGGGGTGTCGGGGACAGGAATCTGAGATGATATGAACCTCGTCGGCGTAAAAAATGTGAATAAATGCTCACAAACATTTTGCTGTTTATCGAGATATTGCTGAACTTCGCTTTCCTCCTCTGCCAGACGAGCATCGAAATCTTCAGCTGTGAAGAACTGGTAAACTGGCACATTGAAATACGGCAAGAGTGAACAATTCCTGAAGAATCATTTCAAATAAGAAGAATGAAATATCGTGAAACTGAGAACCTGACCTTCCCCTCATTGATTCTAAATAAGGAGGCTCGTAGTCAATGAACGGCGAAGCACACAGAACGCTTTCAGCAAGAGATTGATCAAAGTCCGACTAAAAACAAGAATTTGATAAGACACATCAATTTACGGGTATGCGGCAAGAGAATCGTGATTCGCCGCGCCAGTGGGCGTCGCTTGCGTCGTCACGACCACTGATGACGACGATTTCAGGTTCTATTGTTCGAGAAACAATGTATGGTCAAAGGACATAAGTGTCTACCATTTTCTTGTCTACATGAAATTCGATGCTCCAGTCGAAAGGTAGTGCGAATCAAGGAGACGTCGCGCCCTACTGGCGCGCGCGACGAAGCGGCGTTTTACGATTCCCTTGCCCGTTTCTTCAAGTTACTGCCTCAATCAATTAAAGTTTGTTAGGAATTATGACAAGCTTTCAGCGCGGCGATTTCCCACGAGGCAGAAAGTAAGCAATATACACGCATCTAAAAATTCGAAAGCCTTGTGTGCATACGCACGATCAATCCGGTCCAGTCCTACCGAAAAGGTTACCATATGGGACATCTACATATTGTCGACAATCAATTTTTATCCCGAAGAGGAATAGAGCGTGGCTACGCACTTAATTCAAACATGGCTTAGGATGCGCTTGTCTTCCAGTTTTGCTTTTGCTGAAGCCAGAACGGCAAGATACTATCAGAAGAGCAACCGTTGGCGCGCTCTAGTGAGGCAGAAAGCCACGCCTACACCATCTCCGATGTGGAGTGTACCTACTGGTGTGGAACCACTCATTTACAGTTGCTGTTATTTCATCGCGTGGATTCTGTTTCGCACTTGACCGTCACTCTAAACCGAGCTTGGCCATCACAGAAGTATTGGGTTACTAGCACAAAACTTGATCTCAGTCAGAACTCGAACTTGGACCTCGCGCTCACTAAACTAATGTGCTCCACAGTTCACTGCCGATAAT